ATTCTTTTTTTTTTTTTTTTTTTTTTTTTTTTAAAAAAAAAAAAAACACTCTTTAAACGACCATTATCCACCATGTATTTCTCAAGGACTCTTATCGCATCTGCTGTACTTGCATGCGCAGCAGCAACTACGCACTTGGGCGAGGCGGCCGCTTCTCAGACTATTGCAGCATCGGAGACAGTATCGACGGGAATTGCTACCCTATCAGACGTACTTACAGCCCCCACAGCAGCAGCGGGAATGGTTAATACGCACGTAATCCAAGTCGGCGGCTCCAACGGATCACTCATCTTTTCTCCTTCGAATGTTCAGGCTGAAATTGGCGATCTCATTCAATTCCAGTTCAACGCTAAGGTTTGTATAGCAACTTTAAGTACGGTAGACAGCCCCGTTCTGACAGTGCTATAGAACCACTCAGTCGTCCAGTCCACATTCGATCAACCCTGCCGACCCATCCAAGACGTCATGCCCAACAAAACTGACGCATTCTATTCCGGCTTCATGCCCACGAACAAAACGATTACCGACACTAGGAACGTCCTCACTTATACCATACGCGTCATGAATAAGAACCCAATCTGGTACTATTGCTCGCAGGGAAAGCATTGCCAGGCTGGTATGGTTGGTGCTATAAACGCGTAAGCTGTTCCGCCATCTCTATTGGAAAGCAGTGAAACTGACCATCACCAGTGCTACCACGGGCAACAAAACCGTCGCAGCCTTCGCCGCCATCGCCAAAGTACAAACTGAGAACCTCTCTCCAGGCCAGGCACCCGGATCAGCGGCCGCTGGAGGAGGTGCCGCGTCAAGTGGAGCGGGAGGCGCTGCTGCTACAGGTGCTGATAGCGCTGCGACTGCAACATCTGGACAGGCCACTGGCTCTGTGACGGTTACTCCACCAGCTCAAGCCACCGTGAACGCAGCACCGGGGCGCTTTGGTGATGTATCGAAGCAGTCGCTCCTCGGTCTTGGGCTGAGTGGACTTGTTGCTCTCTTGGCATTATAGAGTCAGAGCAGCAGGAAAGAGGGGGGAAGGAGAAAAGTTGGGTGTTGTGATACCCTTTTGGCGGTCTAGAGGAGTCGCCAGGTTAAATTATTCCCTGGGACGGCGCATTTTCCTTTCTTATTATTTCGCACAGAGGCCATGTGTATACCACGGTCCGTTATAAAGTAGTCAGACGGTAATAACAGATTTCAATGAACCTGTCTGGTTTTCACTCTTTTCAGGGTTCTCTCGTGTTAGATGTTGGTCATGGTGCTTGGTAGAGATTTGGCCTAGGGCGTGCCTCGTGGGAATGGCGATGAGGTGCCGCGCCTTCTTCAAAGGTAGAAAGGTGGATGCAACAATGAAGAGCAAGAAGAGCCCAATGAACCATGTGATCGCCATGGCCCTCCTTCAACTGCTCGGAGTGAGTCTTATATCCCATCTCGTCTGACCCTCTTCAACCTTATCTCTCTACTCTCTCCCTTCATTACCTCTGATTGTTGTTGCATATTTTTAAACACTCACTCTCCAAGATGTCCCGCCGCAATTCTAAACGGGGCATTTTCCCTCCCAAACTCCGTTGTTTTTTACGACTTTGCGGATGTCTCCTAGTCCTATCAAGCCTCCCTCTCACCACCAGCCTCCACCACATGCGACGGCCGCCGCCTCGCAAACTGAACCGAAGAAAAGAATCCATCACACCTCTCATTGTCACAAACTACTGTCCCGAAACCATTTACCCTGGCATCTCGACCCAGTCCGGTGACGGCCCCCCGCTCAGTGGCTTTAAACTGGATCCTGGGAAGACGAGCAATCAGACTGTCAGTGAGGATTGGCAAGGACGGGTTTGGGGGAGAACGAATTGCAGCTTTAATGATGCGGGAACGGCACCGAAGTGGGGTGGACCGAGGGCTTGTGGAACGGGGGATTGTAATGGGGTTGTGAATTGTGTTGTGGGTGTATGTACTATGACCTACCCCTTATCCCCCCCGTTCTGCTACCGCTCCCATACAATGAACTGACGGCTATGGTCTGGCTACTCAGGGCGACGTTCCTGTCTCCCTCGCCGAATTTACCTTCGATGCCGGCGACGGCCACACCTACTACGACATCTCCCTTGTCGACGGCTACAACCTCCCCATAGCCATCGTCCTCCAACCCCTCGGCAACAGCACTCTCGACGACATCCCTCCCAACCTCACCAACCCCTCCTGCGAAGGCACCGTCGGGCTCCTCCGCCCCCAAGGCTACAATCCCTACACCAGCGGCCACCAATGGTTCCTTGGCACAAACAGCACCTACCCGCTCCCCTTTGATCAGGACGTCGATCAGGACCAGGTGGCACGGTGGTGTCCGTGGGATTTGCAGCAGAATCCGCCCACGAGCTCGCAGGATGGAATTTATCCGTATCCAGATGCGCGGATTCAGCGACCGGTGTTTGATCCATGTTATTCGGCTTGTGCAAAGAATAATCGGCCGCAGGATTGCTGTACGGGAAAGTATAATGCGCCGAGTACTTGCCAGCCGTCTCAGTACTCTAAGTCAGTGAAAAAGGTGTGTCCGGATGCTTATAGCTATGGTGAGTTTTCGTTCTTTTTCTGCTAAACTGGACCGGCTTTCCGTTCTCTCAGTAATTTTTTGATCGGATCCTCAGAGACCATTAAGCTTTTTTAGTTTATTTTTTTTATTTTTTTTTTTTTTTTTACATCCCTCTTAAGTCCCTCTCTTCCCTATCTCCCCTCTTTCATATCTTCCAAACCCTCCTCCTTCCCTTCCTAATGATCCCCGCGCTTCCTTCATAACACTCCCTCCCTACCTCCCTTCCTCCCTCCCCCCCTCTTTCCCCTTCTTCCCCCCTTTTCTCCCTTCTTCCCTTCTTTCCTACAGCTCCTCTCCTATCCCATCCACGACTCCTCCCCACTCTCACCCATCTTTCCTTTACCTCTTCCTCCTTCTCCTCGCTTCTTTCTTTCTTTCTAACTCCCTCCCAGCCTTCGACGACACAACTTCGACCTTCATCATCCCTGCGGGCGCCGGTTTTGAAGTTGTATTTTGCCCGGGCGGCCGCAGCACCAATATCCTAGCCACTGAACTCGATGAACTCCAGCAGTTGGTTGAAGGTGGGAGTGCGCCGCATCAGCTGGGGGTAGAAGCCAGTGATACGATGGCGGGGATGGTGGTTGGGAGTGAGGTCGTGGTTGGCGGGAGTGGGGGTGACCCCGGTAGAGGTAGGCCGAGTGATATGATGGGTTTGGGGTTTAAAATGAGGGGAGGTAATATGGTAGGGTTGGGGAGTGGCTCTGGTAGACCTGGTAGGGGAGGTAGCGTGTTAGGGATGGGAAGGGTGACAGTAAATGGGGGTGGTATGAGGGGCAAGGGGCGAGTGCTGAGGAGTGCGGCTGCGGGGAGGGATAGGAGGATGGAGGTGGGTTGGGGGGTGGTGGTTGTGCTTTGGTGGGTGTTTTGGTTCTGGCTTTGGTTTTGGTTTTCGATGGCTTAAGTGATGAGGGGACTGTGTGCTAGGTGGATTGGAGACGCTGAATTATCCTTATCGAACCGCTTGCTCCAGTGAGTTCTACCAGTCTAGTAGGTGGCAACCCTACCTTATAAACGATGAGGCCTGTTTAAAGGCGCGATGACAGCGATTTTCTATTCTGCTCTTATGGAACGCAGTATCCTCTCATGTATATTCCCTGGTAACCTTTGAACCCGAGTCCACACGGAAACCTTGGGTACTAGGAGACCAAAGTTCAAAGCCATGCTTTATGGAGGAGGGGAAGTCGTCCCCACGCACGCACTGCAGTGTAGAAGTGCAACACAAGGCGATAGAGTTATGTTTTTCCTCTAAGCCCGGGAAAAGGTACTGTTTTTTGTATCTTCCTCTCAGTGGTGCTCTTCTCATATCGCTGAGTTAAAACTAATGAAATAGGAGAGCCATGTATCCTTAGACCCTCGGCGTTGGCGCCTTTCTTAAGTATCATGACTGGACTTAATAGCAAGGTCTATGTCGCTTGTAGTGTACGCTTTGAGGTAGTAAATGTATCCAAGTACGAACCTCTGACCATGATATGAGAGTCTTGAAGAAGCGTATCTTTACCGTTTGCACCCAATATTTATGTAGGGGAAAGAGCGCACACGAATGCGTTCACCACCGAGTAAGAGAGAGACTACTGCGTGTGTTGAGTGATACAGCAACCAAGAAAAAGGAGAAGAACATTGTGCAAAAGGAATTCCCAATCTTCTAGAAGCCTAGTTGGCCCTCAGTGGCAACTAGCGCACATGGTATAATATATTCGGAAAAGAAAAACACAGCACTTCAATTAAATGTTTTTAGACGAAGGCCATCCCCACTTTCAAAACAACACTTAAAGCAAAACCTTTCCGCACGATAAATGAGGAGAAAAGAGAGTCGCTCTCCCCAACGCTATTCCGTATAACACCTATCCCATACTTCTCAATTAGCGCTTTCCGCTCCAAGCCGCCGAATACTCTGCCACTACTGAGCTTTAACGGCCACATTCGACTGTCATCATAAACATACCTCTTTGCGTACGATGCAACAAATCCATTCCAACGCCGTTCGCAGTTTCCACGTTACTAATTCTGCCAAAACCTTCATCGGGCGACCAAGAGTGATAGTAAGTAAGTGCTTGTCGAGTCAATCGTGTTTCTTTATATCGCAACATTCCCACTACTTGAAATATTCCTCATTTATTACCTAAGATTCCAAGACAAGCACATCAGATCAACTAGTCTATCCTCCGTGGCGCAATTGGCTAGCGCGTTCGACTGTTAACCAGCAGTTCAATCGAGAGGTTGGTGGTTCGAGCCCACCCGGGGGAGTTAATAAATCTGTCATTACTATTACTTTTTGCCAACTTCCATATTTTTAAAATAATTTTTAATTAGTGGGGGGAGAGAGTTTGCTGAAGCTAAAGAAACATTTTATTCAGATCTATAGAATAAAAAAAAGAAGCGAGAGATAAGGGGAGGAAGGCAAAAAGAATGGAATGGATGCCCATTCTCGGAATCGAACCGAGGATCTTCTCATAGCGTATAAGGGATACGAGTGAGACGCTGTACCACTAAGCCAAACGGGCGGAGTGCTATGAAAAATTGGTTCTGGAATTATATATATCTGTATTAGTTGCCATTGATGGCAAAACAATCTACCCAAACGGATTAGGGAGTTTGGGAAAAAGAAACGTCGTAAGATTTCCACGATGTCCACCCGTCATAAGAAAGGAATCTCACTAGTGATACACGTGTCATACAGGATAGATATTTATTGTCATGTTCACATGGCCGTAAGGCCTTTATTGTGTATGGCCCACCATATCCGCTCCCTTATTGAGAATGTCTCCAAGCAGTTGTCTAGTAGAAGAAGCCAAGAACCTTTCCAGCAACGTGCTTCCTCCTAGCCTCCTCATGATCCATGATACCAGCGGAGGTAGTCAGGACGATGAAACCGAACTGACGGGAAGGCAGCAGCTTGACAACCCACTTCTCGAGGTCGCGGAGCTGGACGTTGTAGCGGGGGTTGATGACACCGGTCTTGTTGATGCGGCCGTTGAGCTGGATAACGATCTTGCCATTGCGGTGGTCGTCAACCTCTTCGAACTCGCCGATGTAACCTGAGATGAGAGAATTAGTGAATATGTTGCAAGAATTTAAACATCAGACATCAGGATGAGGATCCGAAGATGTGTAAGATCCTCGCGAAGGGGTTATTCTATCGGGCACTTAAAGGACAAAGATCGTAGTGGGTCGAAATCTCCGTCTAGTTATCAACCCGAGGGAGGGAAGGAGGGGCGGGGATAAAAGAAAAAAAAAAGAAATTAATCAACATACCGTGGCGTTGCATGACAGTCAAGAACTTGATGATGACCTTGGAGGAGGGGCGGATCATCACCTGGCGCTTGCCAGACTTCTCAGCGTTGTTGATGGCCTTCGTACAAGTAAGCAATGCGCATATTTCAGAGGGACAGCAGGAATTATACTGACATTGAGCGCATCGTTGAGGACGGAGGTCTTGACCATTTTGAATGACAGGAGATTCTCAGTGGCAGATGTTGCGACAGGAGGTATCTGTACGAATAGAGAATTTGTTAGCCTTCAGAAGCCAGAGCCAAGAAAGAGTGCCCTTCAGTCCGCAACCAAAGGGTTCTTCAGCTCTTATTGCGAAGGGAGAAGCGTATCATCTCATCCTTCAGGAACAGATGATTGCTTCCCCGGGCCACTGAAGGGCACTCGTGGAACGTGGAGTCGCATACCTCAATAAGGCGGAGTCGGATTGTCGTGGGCGATGAAGACGGACTGGGGATTCGAAGTTTTGAGGTCGGGAAGGGATTTCGTGTGGGCTCGGACGGAACATAGACGGGCCGTATTTTAGGTGGTCTGCGCTTCGGTATCGAACCTGCAGTAATCAACACCCGCCCTCTTCCTCCTACCTGATTAGGCAGGATTTTATGACACGATAAGGATGCCTCTCCTCACGATCAGGACGTCAGCGAATCTAATCGTCATGCTTATCTTACGTATTCTTCTATATCCCACTGTTATGCTAAATCCGTTGAGGGATTGATATTCTAATCCGTTATTGCCACCACGTTTACACGTGCTCCCGTGACCCGGATGTGGTCGTCATGACGTTACAGCGATCTTTCATATTCTGAGCTTCAACTTGTCCTCTTCCTCTTTGCTAAACTCTTTAGATACCTATACAGTTGGCACAGCGGAATCCCTCTTTCGGATCTAACTGACCATGTCCGCGGAAGCCTGTTGTACTTGCGCCGCTCTCTTTTCTTCTATTCCTCCACCATACACTGAAGAGAAAAAGAAGCCTCAATACGAGCGTCGACTTGCATGCTGTGGGCGTGCCATATGCCCTCGGTGTATAGCAAACAATCCACGCTTTGCTACCTACTGTCCTTTCTGTCAGATCTCTACTGTACCTTCTCCATTGCCTCCACAAGGTCTTCGAGAGCCGCCCTCATACTCGCCACCCAGCGATGAGCCTAGGACAGGGACATCGATAGACATAGATCCTGAACTACCGCCATATTCAGCCAGTAACCCCTTGGGGACGACAGTACAATCGAAGGGCAAGAGTGAGCATGCTTCTGATGTGCTACATTTCGTTGACCCAGGGAACGACTCGATAACGTCACTGTCCTTGCGCTATGGCGTCCCCGCCGAAGCTCTAAAGAGGAAGAACGGGTTATTTGCAGGGCACTTGCTGCCTGCCCGTCGAACAATCCTGATTCCAGGGGAATACTACAAAGGAGGAGTGAGCCTGAGCCCACGGCCACTTGAGGGAGAGGAAGAGGAAATTAGGAAAAGCAAGATACGGAAGTGGATGCTTGCTTGTAAGGTAGCAGAGTAAGAAAGCCCTTTTCAAAGGTTATGGAATATAAGACTGATTGACGAGTATAGGTATGATGTGGCACTACTCTACCTCCAACAGGCTGATTACAACCTTGAGCAGGCGATTGAGGCATACCGCGCCGACGAATCCTGGGAAAAGGATCACCCACTCGAGGCTGCAAGAAAGGGCAAAGCGGACTCCAAAAGCTCTGGACGCCGCGGGTGGGGCTTTGGAGGAGGTGGCCTGACAGGGCAGCTGTCTTGACCATCCAGCGGTGTCTTTTGAATCCTTACTCGAGGGAAAACTTGACGAATGAGCGCTTACACCCTATAAATGGTATGGGTTGCAAAAGCGCCCAGGCTTCGGCGGGTGGGTTCTGACCACAGTTTAATCGGAGTGCTAAATGTAGGTTATCGGACTATAGACCTGTACAACTGAGCTGAACGGCTGCAAAATTGCTAGCAAGTGCTCCGTCTGATCATCATGTCGTTCCCATGAGCTAACAATTAATACAAAGTCGCTCTAGCAAAGCGATACCAGAAATGATATACAGGCGAAACCTAAACCTTCACGAATCATGACTCTCCAGTCTTCAATCCTCGATTCTAATCTTTCCCGTCTTCCCGCAACATAGAAATTCGATTCCTTATGTGGTCCAATGATATTCTGCCATTACTGTATGCACCTAAGCGCCCAAACGTTGATCGAATCGCGCCGCCCCCAAGCGCCGGCCCCACCAACAGGGCTGATAGTACACGCTTAAATCTACCTCTCAGGCCGCTCTCACTCCGACTAATGTGTTCGGTGGAAATGATTCCCCTGCAGCAACATCTATTTTCTACTCTCACCGCTGTATTTACGCGCTCATGTATGCTACTATCCGGGAGACGTGCAGCTAGGCCCGCGCGACGGCCAAGATACTTCCATTTAGTATCTTCTTTTGGCAGAAGGTGGTGTAAGGGTCTTAATTTAGGTTCGCCAATTGTTTGTGGTAGTGGGAGGGGGAAGGGGAGGTCCCGGCCGTGATGATGGTTAAGGTTGTTTTAAAGTAGGCCTCAACCTCTTTTCTGCTGCGTTTTTTGTCTGATCAATTCATACCTACTTCCTTTTCCAGTTCTTGTCCTTGTTGTTCCTGTTTGTTTTCTTTGGGGAGATTCTTCAATTCTATTCTATCATTAAGGACTGGTCTCCTGTTTATACTATACCCCTTACAATCACTGCCCTCCGTACATACACACTTGGGTTCATCTCCTTGAGGCTTTCCTTAATTCCTTTCGGAAATCACCTATATTATACCGCATCTTCTCCTGAAAACCCCCCACGACTATCACAATGAAGATCAACCCAACCCCCCTCCACACAACCCAAACCATCCTCCTCTCCCTCATCGCAGTGCTCACCCTCTCTATCACCGGCACCGCATCCCACACCCTTGATATCTTCAACAAACAACAGTCTTCCAACCCTTGGTGGCTACCGCTGTGGCCACAGCATTTCGATACGAATGGCACGAAGGCTTTGATCGGGGCTGCGGTGTCGACGTTTGTGTTGACTATGGTGCTTCTGGTGGTTGCGGTTGTGCCTAGGGTACGTCTTCCCTCTCTTTATCCATCGAGCTAGGGTTAGAGATTACAATGTTAACGACTGTACAGTTTGCTCTCAAGCAGAAATACACCCTCCGTGCCCTCCTCTCCCTCGGCACCACTCTCCCCGCGGCCCTCGTGTGCCTTGTTACAGTTATCTACGCACATATCCTGAACAACAATTCTCCGGAACTGGACACTATCCAGACGTGGAGTTGTAAATATAAGAATGGTAGGAGTTTGCAGCAGCAGGATATTCCTGTGCCGAGTCATCTTGGCAACGGCGCCTTCAAGAGCGTCTGCACCGAAAGCGTATGTCCTCAATTGATATTTCCCCTACAACCCCCCACTATTCCCATTTCCTTTAATCGCCATACCATTCTCGAAGTGAAAAATGATATCATCCCTACCCCCCTGAGCCCCAACAATAACCACTAACTCTGTCCGACAGAAATTTTCTCTCTATGCCACTCTAGTAGTCTTCCTCCTCCTTTCCCTTAACCTCGCAGTCAGCATCGTCACTTGGTTAGCCGATAAGTGGGCTATGCGACAGCAGCGGAGCGAGAAGAATCTTGAGATGGGATCTACGCCGAGCCCGGAGCCGCAGCTTAGGGGGAGTCATTTGGAGATGTAAGATGTTGTTTATTTGCTATTAAGGGATGGGACGAGGAGAGGGAGTTGAGATATGATTAAGTAGAATGATGCGGAACGGAGAGATATTCTAACAGTTATACGAAGGAGATGGAATGTATGAGCCTCCAACTTGTTCGTTTAAACGAATCATAGGAAGATGAAGAAGTGTACGTAGCTCTGGATGACTACCGCTGTAGTGCTACTGCAGGGAGATGTAATGAACTACTTCGTTATTTGTATTAGCTACCTAGCCCGCAGGTATGTATGTACAGCGGAGTCAGGTATGAATTGTATAAGTAACTTCGTCTGCTTAGTTGTGTAAGACCACCACCGATGATTCGTTCCAAGCTAATCTCTAGTCATTTATTCCTAAAAAGGTCCGTCTAGTTTTACTGTTGCGAACATTAGCTATCCCTTGTATTCACTAGTTTACGCTTCGCTTTAACGTGTCGTAGTCATTTATTCCTAAAAACATTCCTCTGCCACTACCCTCCCAAACACCGTCTCTCATTTCTAC